TTATTTTTATTTTGCAACAAAATGAATCCTCGTTTGTTTGGTGGATATGCAGGTCAGAAAATCCATTTCACTGGAGCACTCTCATTTTAACACCTGCCTGAATGTCAGTTGCCCACTATTTGCTAAGTCATGAGGATCAGAAAAGATAATAAACAATTAAAATGGTTGCTAGGTCATTTCACAAGAGCATAGTTCATCGTTCTGTATACTTTGTGATAACTCCTTAATAGTTTTTCCTTTAAAAGAGAAAAGGTTTAATAATTTCTGTTAATTCACTAGTAGTTGGCACCTATAGCTATGAAATATGTGTCGGATTCTAATTACACCCAGGAATATCATTGACTTTGAGTGTCATTGTCAGTTTTTGAAAAATAAAAAATGGTAATCATAAATCCTTTCCAACAGGTCTTGGAGATGGTATTAGTTTCCTGTTGCTGCTATAACAAATTAGCACACAGGTAGTGGCTTAAACCAACACAGATTGATTATCTTATAGTTCTGGAGGTCTGCAGTCCAAAATGGGTTTTACAGGCTAAAATCAAGGTGTCATGGGGCTGTGCTCCTCCTGGAGACTTTCAGATCCTCCATTGCTTTGCCTTCCCAGCTTCTAGAAGATCTTCACATTCCTTTTAAGGAGGTTCCTTTCTCTCTTGAAAGCCAGCAATTGCATCCCTTCTGTGCTGGCTTCCGCCATAACATCTCCTGCTGACTGCTTCTCCTGTCCCATCTTAGAATGACCCTTCTGATCACACGAACCACCTGGATACTCCAGGATAAGTTTTCTATCTCAAGATCTTTATCTTAACCTCACCTGCAGTGTCTCTTTTGCCAGGCAAGGTAACAGTCACAGGGTCCTGGGATTAGGATGTAAATGTATTTTTTTTTTTGGAGGGGGGGATTATCCTGCCTACTATAGAAACAAAAGGCAAAAGAAGTCCAGAAAATCAGTTTGTATAAATAAGCAATTCCAGGGTACTTTTGAGACCTTTCCCCCCTCCCCGAAACAGTTGTTTTCAGTCCCATGCAGGCTTGAAAACAACAAAAACATTAATTGAATGCCTGTTCAACTCTACTCTTTGTGATTTATTTTGTGTGTATGAAAGTATGGTAGTTGTGCAGGATAAAAAAAAAATCTACTCTCTAATCCTTTTTAAAGGTCAAGTGGCAAAGAACTGGTTTTAAATGCGAGTTACCCACATGGAGCCATTAGGAGAGATGTAAAGTGGTCTGCATTTCAAGATGACATGGGCCAGATACAAATGGAGGAGAATTGACTAAGATATTAGCTGAGTCAGGAAAATTCAAATCCTACCTTTGGGAGAACACTTGGATTAATATATATCTATTGTAATCCATTAAAAAGAATCCTCTTCTCGTCCAAGCGATTATGTCATTAAATTTGCAAGTGGCTTCTCTTTGCAGTCACACAGACACCAGGAACCCACCTCTGAGGTAGATTCTTGTCCAGGCCTTTTTGCTGTCAGTGGGGGGTGGTGGCTTAGCTTTCAGAGATGTACGGGAATTCTATAGTAATTTAAAGGCTGCTCTGCAACATTCCATTTCTTTCCCAGGACAGACAGCGCTGACATGGTCCAAGGACCCCTCCTCAGAATAAAGCCCAGGCCCCCTTCCTACGTCACTTGGGCCTTTTGACCTTTGCCTGCACAAGTTGCTCTGTTCATCAGCTTGCCTGCTGCACACACTCCTAGTTTTCCGCTTCCCTGTGCTCCTTCTGTGGTGGAGGTGGGAGGGAGATTTCTTCTCAAGATGGATTTCTCGGGAGAGCCCAGCCTTGGGAAGCTGAGTCCCTACCCTACAGGTTGTGAAGCCTTCAGAATTTGCTTTTTTTTTTTTTTTTAAGTGCATTCTGCTGGCATCTGAGTGACAGCTGAGCAAGACAGGTAGATCCTTTCCCACCGACTCCTTTAGGGAAAACACAACCCTGTCTCCATCCCTCGCTGGCTCCTCCTGGGGCTCAGTCAGGCGATGAAGGTGGATAGTGAAATGCAACCTGTGGGTCCCCGCACTGGGCAGCCACCCCAGCCGGCTGTGCTGGACCTCAGCCTGGGCTTGGCCAGACCAGAGCACTCTCCATTCTCACCATGGCCTGGAACAGGACCCGGTGACAAGTGGCTATGAAATGATGACAGAGAGGCAGATCACAAAAGTCAGGAGAGGCAGGGAGCAGCAGGCAGGACCAAGAACTTCATGAGGTCCAGAGAGATGCCAATGAGGGGTGCTCCTTCCTGTGCGTTTCTGTTTCTGTCCCCTGTGCCCCTCGTTCTTTACTGTTTCTTGCTTTTTTATTTTTCATACCAGGGATTGAACCAGTGTTCCACATCCCCAGCCCTTTTAATTTTTTTTTTTTTTTTTAAATTTTGAGGCCGGATCTCCTGTGGTTGCTTACAGCCTTGCTAAGTTGCCGAGGCTGGCTTAGAACCTGTCATCGTCCTGCCTCAGCCTCCTGAACCACTGGGATTATAGGCATGTGCCACTGCACCTGGCTCTTGCTTATTTCTGGTAGGTCCTTTTTTTGCGAGCGCAAAAAGCTGTGTAGTGATCTCAAGGTCATCTGTCCTCTGCTTTAGTGACTGTTTCTGGGGAATGAACATTTCATGCTTGGGCCTTTTCTGAGAAGTGGCTTTGGGGTAACATGTGCATTAGAAATGATGGTCAGCAGGGGGATCCAAAGGGAAGTGGAGGGCAGGGCATGGGGAAGCACCGGTGAATGCAACTTACCAAATTATGCTGTGTCCGTGTCTGCATATACCACAGTGAATCCTGCGTGCATAATTAGAATGCACTGATTAAAATAATAATAACAATAATAAGAGGGTGATCAGTAGAGTAAGTAGATCAGGGGAGGGAGAAGTGGAGGGAAAGAAAAGGCACTGGGGAGGAATGAGATTGATCAAATTACGCACATGGCATGTATGAATATGGTATAATGAACCTCACTATTATGTGTCATTATAATGCAACAATTAAAAAAAAGACATCATCAGCAATTACCAAGTGGTATTCATGATTTTGATTGGCCATTATTTTTTATTGGTTGGGGAGTATCTTATATGATCAGATACTGTCCTTTTATTTTTGTGGAAAGTTAAGGAAAAACATGAACTGATATGCTCTTTTTGTTATTCCACAGCTTTATAATATTTGAGAATTCCTGAATAAGAAACTCTAAATAGAAGCTAGAAACTTTATGAAATATTACTCAGTGGTTCTAAAAGTTTTTGCGGGCACAAATTTAGCCAGGGAGCTTGGTAAAATAGACATCTGGGTCTTTCTTACCTGCAGAGCATCAAATTTGATAGATCTGGACCCCCCTCCCCGCACCCCCTAACTAGCTTACATTTTTTTAATCAACTCTTAGGTTCCTCTGAGGCGGGTGGTGGGGATGGTGGCTTGATCGGGATCATGTCCTTGCACTTCTTAGCAGACCCTGAACTCAGCCGCTCCCCACCCACCCCACCCACCCCAAGTCTGTTTTCATATGATATAATTTTCTCTCAGCCGGCAGTTGTATTTTCATGCGATTCGGAGAGAAGCTTCTGATCGCGGTGTATCACCTGCATCGTTATTTTCAGAGCTTTGGGTCTCAGGTTTATTCCCGGGACAAAGACTGAAGGATGATCTGAAATCAAATACATTTGTCTGGGAGTGGAATGTCTGTCAGGCCCAGGCATCGATCTCCTTGAGCTTGAGGTCTCAGTGAATGTCTCCCCAGCGAGAATTCCAATCAGGATTCTAAAGGCTACACGAAATAGGCCTGATTTCTGAGCTTTCTCTGGGGAGACTGCTTAATTTATAGGCAAAAGGGGGAGAAATCCGCATCCCACCCTGCTTGTTTGTAATCAGCACACCGTTCATATTTTAGGATAAAATGCTGTGTTGATTAGTGTGTGATCTAAGTGAGCCAGAAAATATCTCGGTGCAGACAATTTTTAAGGATGAAATCGTTGCACTTTAGAGGATGGAAAGATAGCAAAATGAAGTCTAGGCAGAACCGCGGGGAAGTTGGCTCGTCTGGGAGAGATGCTGGATCTCTGCAAGTGTGCTCACATCATTCTGTCACCAGGGGGCAGCATTGCACTTTGGTTGGAAAACCACCTCTCTGGCACTCAGCCCTTTAAAGGAAAATAACATCTATGTGAGCAAAGCTAAAAACCAGAACATTAGCAAGAACCAGAAAACCAACAACACAGAACCCAAACTGCCTTTGTTATGATGTGCCATCTTTACTTTCCTCGGTGCAAAGAATTTAATATTGTAGTATTGAGACTCTCCAGGGCATACTTGATGGGGCCATGCATACACTCTTGGGGGGGTGGGGTCAGATAATGCAATGAGATTATTTTTCATTTTTACTATTTTTTTGTTTGCTTCTCTCTTATTTCACTGTCCTTGTCTTCCTGCTGAACAGCTCCTTTCCCATACCTGCTTCTTTCAAGGTAGAGATGGAGCTGGTGGCTGGTTGCCTGTCTGTGTGGGGGCCTGGTGAATAGGGTAGGAAGCTCTTTCTCTTTTCCATGTTGTTGTGAAACCAGGCTTACAGATTTTCATGATCCTGGAGATCATAATTCTGTTTATGCATTCGCACAAACACACATTCATAGGTGCCAACCTCTCAATTCATAGGGAGTGATATGGAATAAATGTTTGTTAAACTTTGCATCCTTAAAACACACTCATATTTTTTAATAGGTAAAGTATGGGCAAATTCAAAATGAATCCAACCTTTGACTTTCGGAATTCCTCCATTACTGGGATCATGTGTGTTTGTTCACACAGGTATCTCATGTTCTTGAACCGTGAATGCCTGGGCTAGAAAGTCCTCAGTAAATATTTGTGGAGTGAATGCGTGCATGTAAACACGTGTCATGATCAGCACTGTGTTCTTGCCCCTTGGCTTTGCTTTTGAGCAATGATTAACCAGGGGACCCAGGCAAGGCTGGATCTGCCCACTGGGCTTCCTTCCTGGTCTCAGTCATTGTTTGTTTTGTGTCTTGGCTTGTGAACTCACGGTGACTGAGAGCTTCTTGAAGGAATCCAGCCTCCAAGAACAACTAGAAAACCCAAACACTTTTGTTTCTCTGAAATTTGCAGATACATTTACATACAGTGACTGTCTCAATGCTGCCATTTGGGGGAGTCTCATAAAGACTTGGTTTGAAGAAGCACCTCGCCATTTAGATTCTTCTGCCAGGACATTTTTTTGTTTTGCTTCCTTCTCCCTTTTCTTCTCTAGCAGAGAACAGGCAGGTTGGGAAACTTGACTTTGACCAGGAGAAGAAGTATGCGCGGGGCAGGGAATAACAGGCACCAGGAAGATTAATTGCCCTCGTTGGAATCCGGCTTGACTGGGTGAGGTGAGACAGTTCAATTATTTAATCATGTTGGTGCTCTGGGCTCCCAAGGCCTTGTGTCTCGGACAGCCCTCCCCACCTGCTGAATTTATGTGAGGAATTGCTCTTTGCTGGCTGTTCCCAGGTGAACCCTCAGGCAGAGGGTGAGCAGCCGTGGGTTTTGGATGGAGATGGGAACATCTCCTTCTCCTCCAAGGGCTGCGTGGGTGGAGGTCTCCATGCTTATGTGGGAAGCTGGCTACTAACCAGGCTGTGTGTCCTCTCCTGTCACTGGGAAGAGCATGCTCTGTGCCTGGAGGGAGCATGCTCTTCCCTCCTGCCCAGCCTTTCTGGGCTTTCTTTTGGCTGGAGAATGGCTACCCACTGGAGCTACAGGTCAGAGCACTGTTCAGCCAGAATGTGCCAGAGCCACGCAGTCCAGTTGTTCTGTGATGATGGAGATGTTCCAATAAGGGGGGCAGGGAGCAGACGTGGCCTTTAGCACCTGAACTATGGCTGGGGCAAGTAAGGAAGTGAATTTTCAATTTAAATTAATTTAAAGTTCAATAGTCATCTGTGGCCAGAGGACACTATATTGGGTGGTAAAAGACTAGACTTCACCCACAAGGTCCAGTGCAGATGCTGATTTTCTTTTCTTTTCTTTTTTTCTTTTTTTGGTAGGGCTTGAGTCTTGCACTGTCATATGGAAGGGCTTTTTTTTATAATTAATTTAATTCTTTAAACTTTTTAAATAGTACACTTAATTATTCAGAATATGGTTTTCACTTACCTATGTGTACACTCATATGATGCACTCCAATCATATCCACCCCTCATTACCTTCTCTGAACTTCTCTAAAAGTCTCCCTGTCACTTTTGTGTCATCCCCTGCCCTTAGTTGCCACGTGTAGGGAGAACCTGCTACACTTGTCTTCCTGAGTCTGACTTCTTTTCCTCAACATCGTGTGCTCCAGTTCCATTTATTTTCCTGCAAATGACAGAATTTCATTCTTCTTTATGACTGAGTAATACTCCATGATGTAAATATACCACAGTTTCTTTATCCATTCATGTGTTGATGGGCTCTTCCGCGGAGTCCAGAACTTGACTGCTGTGAGGTGTGCCTCAATAAACAGGGGCACGCAGTGTCTCTAACCTATACTGACTTTCATTCAGGGGGGCTGTTTTGTGCTAGTCCTTCTGCTACTAGTGTAGTTTTTTTGGACACATCTCACCCTGCCCTCTTGCTTCTCATCGTACCCCTCTGCTGCCACATCTTGGCCACGTCACTCCTCATTAACATACAAGAAGGGACAGGAGAATGGGATTTTACACACACAGCTATGATTTCTTGTTTCCTGATGTGGCAAAGACCTTACTCCTATAGCGACGGCTTGTGTCGGGGTGGAATGACTCAGGCCTACCCCTCCGGGCACTGGAGAACTTCACTGTGTATGTGTAGACTTCCGCCATGGTGGTGCCACCCTTCTGGTGTCAGGCAGCCTGGCAGTCAGGTGCTGTGTTTGGCCCAGGTTTTCAATTGTTCAGAGACCTCATTGTCTATCACAATGAGCCCTTAAAAAAAAATGTCCTTATGAGATAAATGCTATGGTGCGAACTAGACACAAGAAGAAAGGGTTAGGACACACGAACTATCACTATAACTAAAAAGGGAAGACAACCACAGCACCATCACAATTGTCCCTGTCACTCAGGTTGAGTTATGGAGTCATAATTAATGACTTCCAATCCCCCTTGTCCTCTAACATCCAACCTGCCCCGGAGCTGAGGAACTCATCATTCTCCTGCTGTTGCCACCTACACTTGGCCCCGGATGCTTCATGCCCTAGTTGCTAAAATTACACAAATAGAAGAAAAAATGAGCCTGTGAAGTCCTTCTCTTGGGTCCTGTGGTTTACACTTGCTGGTTAATTTGAGCCTTACTGTTGGGGTCTCAGAGTGACAGAAACAGCAGCCAATTGCTGTTGTACAAGCAAAAAGTGCACATAGCCTAGGTGCTAGTGCCCTTGAAAAACGTCCCCAGACAGGCAGCTCGTGGAGAGAGCTCTTTAAATTAAGCTAGATTTGTAAAGAGCCCATGTACTGCCTGACTTGGAGCTAAATCCTGCAGCAGAAAGGAATCCGGGGCTGGCTGCAAGTGAACAGAGACAGCTCAGGCACCAAAGCATGAGCCCAGGAGTGGCGGGGAGAGGGGTGATGTGGGAACAGACAGCATCCTGAGGTTTGAGAGAAAGAAAAACATCAAAACAGAGGGAGCATCCAGAGACAAAGCACAGAGACATTGTCTCAGAAAGCTGGGATGCACAGAATGGAGAATGGAGATCAGGAATAAGAGAGGGGACTTGCATGAGAAAGGAAAAAGCCAGAGTAAGAAAAGAAAGATTATCTTTTTCTTCTGTATCTCATGAAAGAGACATGGCTGAGACCAAGTCATTCCAGCAGCTGGCCTGACAGCCACAGAGCTACTTCCCCACCTTAGCCCTGAGTTCATGAGCTAAGCAGGCACACACGCCTCGCCCTCATTCTGCCCTCCAGGCTAGACGTTCACCTGCAGCATGAGGAGCTTCCTCATATATCCCAACACAGTGGGCTTCCAATCTCCTGGAGAAGAACCAACACAACAGGAAGGTGGCTTCTCCCCTCAACTCCTGTGACCTCCTTGCCAATGCAGCCTCGTCCCATCTTCTCTGCAGCGGAGAGAACACTGCCAGTTGACATCCAGCTGCCTCCTATTTTGGGGACCCTCACTTTGATGGGCTCTAGAACCTCTTGGTGAAGCTTAATAAGAATACAGTTTCCTGAGCCCCAGCTCCCAGAGATTTGGGTTCTCAAGGGAAGATAGCGTCTTCAAAAAATGTCCAGGTTGGGACATTCCAGGGAATGGGCAGAGTGGTAAAATGTGAAAATTTTAGGGCTTAGAGGATGTAGCCATCTAATTCAATGCTAGTTAAAAATGCTCCCAAAATGCTCCCAAAATGCACTTTTATGACATAACTTTTATCTACTTGATGGGAAATTAAAAAAAATAGATTTTCTTTTCCTCCTTCTATAAGTTATTGGGTAGAAAAATACTCCTTTTTTTTTTCCTACAGAATCGAACAAAAAGCAAAGTCCACATTGTAAATGCATCTTAGGGGGTTCCAGGTGGGGAGTACATTGTGCTTGGGGACCTCTTCACTTTGGAGTCTGGCATGGATGGCATCCTCCCAGCCAGGGCCATGTCTGAGTGTCCCCAGTACCACCTTGTCAGTGTTTGCCACACTTCTGCTGAGGGCCACTGAGAGAGTCAGGGGTGGGAAAAATGGGATAGAATTCACCAAAGGCCCTGGTTTGCTTGCCTGTCACTATGGGAATGAAGGAGAATCACTCTTTAGATTGTTTCCCTCCATCTATGAAAAGGGTCTAAGTGGTGATCCTCATGGAGTTGTAGTTATTGCATGAAGTAAGGTCTAGAAACTGCTTTGCAGAATAAGTGTTCAAGGAACATGACCATCCCTTGGAGGCGTCTGTCTCCTTGTCTCACAGAGAATTACCTGCCCTCGTCAATACCCACATTTTTTATATGCCTTTATGTGTTCTTAGAAAAAAGCCTTACCTCGGACCTTAACTCATGCAAAACTTATGCTGTTCGTGTTGTAAGTCTTAGCAGCCTTCGGGTATGCTGGTTGGTCATGTGGGCATGTTGTTTGTAAGAGGACCAGCAGCTGCTACCTTTGGTGCTGAGTTTGGGCAGCTATAGGTCAACTTGGCTTTGGGGCCTGGCCAAGTTGTGTATGGCTGGAAAGCACAAGAACCGGCAGAATTCTCCATTTGTTTTAGTTTTGAAATGGCATTTGTACCCCGATTTAAAGAATGGACATGCTGAATTCTCAACTGAGCCTTGTCCTTGATCCCTTCTGGGCAATATACAAGATGGAGATTCTACTGCCCTTGTGGGAATTCAAACATGTCATACCCACTGACAGGCAATCATGATTCTAATGAGGGAAGAAGAATTTAATTCAATAAAAAACCTATTAGAATTGACAGTACAAATGTAAACAGGTCCCTGGTGGATAATTCTTGCTGGGCCTTCTCCATGGCTGTATTGGTTGACATGTACCCTAACCAAGCTTGGAAGACAGAGGCTCCGGTCCGTTTCCACGGGAGGGGACGGATCTGCCCCCCTCTCTTACCCGAGGCACTGCTTTGAAACTGTGTACCAGGCCGTTGGGTGTAACCTGTAAAATGACTTTTTTGGTCTCATTTTTAGGGGAGGAGGGATTCTGTGATGCCTGAAGACAGATATTGCTGGCGATTATTTTTTTGTTGCTATTTTTCAGAAGATTTGAACTGTCAAAATCAACTGCTTTGGTTTCCCCCTAAGGATTTTGACTTATCATGCAGAATAGTTTTATGAATGTCTGGAGTTTTTTCCTTCTGTTGTAGCAGCTGGATTTTAAAGACTTTTCATTGGAGCAGTTTGTGAATTGCCACCCATTTTGGAAAAGGTAAATTTCACCCAACAAATACACAGTTCCATCTTTGGCAGATATTCTTAACAAGAACTAAATAGCCTTGTTTCATGATTATGTCATAGCACCAACAATTCCTGTACAAACAGTGGTTTTTCTTCCTTATTGTTTTCTTTTAATGTTTCGGAGTAGAGATAGTGGTATGTTTGTTCTTCACTCTTAAAAAACAAAAAAAGACAGAATAAACCTAAACATTGACGTCACTAAAAAACAAAACAAAACAAACTTTGGTTCATTAATAACACTAGGGATAAATTTACTATTAGTATTCCAATCTTCTCTCTCTATTTTCTTATTTTTAAGTCTTTGCTTCAAAATTGACTCCATCATCGTTCATCTTTGGCTTTTTTTTAATTTTTTTTTTTTTTTTTTAGTTTGTAGATGGACCCAATATCCTTATTTTATTTATTTATTCTTATTGTGGTGCTGAGGACCGAACCTAGTGCCTCACTCGTGCCGGACGACTGTGCTACTGCTGAGCCACAACCCCAGCCCCACCTTTGACTTTCTTAATGGCAATTTATATACAAAAGCAAGAGACTCGCCCTCTGCCCAGAGGTTCTTCCTCTGCAGTGGCTTGGTTGTCTGGGAGTCAGAGTGTCCTCGACACTGGGATACTTGGCCTAGGAAGCTGTGTGCACTGTGTGCTCTGTTGGGATAAATAATATCGGACACACAAATGCCATAATTAGTTTTCAGATAGGTCGATTCTGTAGGATTACGAATAATGCGCCTTCATTGTCTTTTTTGTGACTAAAGACTTTCTTGATTAATGGAGGCTAAAAGGGCAGCTCTGATCATATGAGGGTCATTGTGACATTTTTGACTCTACAAAGGAGATTGATCCTGTATTTCTAAGTATTGGGAATACTTGCCTTAAACCAAGTGGGTGTTCAGGGTCTGAGCCTTTACTTGTATTATGAATGTGTTTGTCATCCTTAAGATGTCACCCCTGCCTTCACTTCCACCTGGAAAGGGAGAGGACCTTGTTGGTCAGCGGCTCCAGGCTGAGGCGAGCTGGCACTGCCCCACCCCCCGTCACAGTTCAGCAGTGCTGTGGGGCTCGCTGTGCACTTGCGTTGGCTCTGCCCTCTGAAAGCCTTGACTAAATATTTATTGCATTTTTTTTTTTTTTGCAGTAACAACGAACAATTGTCCATTTCTTGGCATAGCTTTCCTCTTGCCTCATGTTTTCTACTCTCTTGTTCTTGCTCATGACTGCTCTGTCTCCACAAACTAAGGTGCAGAACCTTACAAGCATCTGGTGTTGTTTATCCAAAGCTATTCTGAAGGAAGAAAGGAGGAAACTCCTATTTCCCATGTGGTTGCTACGTGCTGAGTTTGGACCTTTATCCCTTGTAGACATCGTGACTGCCATGTTCACAGAGAGGCATCTGGGGCTTGGCCAGGGGAATGGCAAAGGTGCTGGTGTTCGCTGCAAAGTAGGTGGGCAGCCCAGCTGTCCGTCCCTGGTCTGGAAATTTCTAAAGTTAATCCTTTGTTACATCCTTCCCTCCATATCTCCCTCCTTCTTGCCTCTTTTCCCTTCCTCCCTCTTTATTTCCCTCCCACCCTTCCTCTTCTCTTTACAAGAGCTCAGGAGCTTTACTTTATGTGCAAGATTTCACCCATGATATTAAATAGACATCTATTGTTTTGGAGATATTTTTTCCATGTCTAGGAGAATCTGAACCTAGTATCTGATATTTTGGGGTTTATGTCTTGGACACCTATAGATGAGCAGTTCTAAATGGATCAGGAAGTCAAGTTTCTTCCTTTGTTTACCTAGAAAGGAGAGTGCTCATTTCAACCACAGAAACAGGTTCCACATACAAACTTTAAACCAACATCAAATCTCTTGCCAGTCACAATCATCGGCATTTTAAAGTTATTCTCCCCAGAGGTTTATGTGGATTCCTTTACCGAGGGGCCTCGGCTGGGTCCTGATCCCCCTGCATCCAGAGACCATGAGTAGTATGTAAACACTCTGCCCAGCCTTGCTTGTTGGCCATTTCTCTTTTGATCTAACTCCGGTTTCATCATTAATTCTGTAATTTTGCTTGTTCTGGCCGAGTCTTGGAGCTGTGAGCAGTAATGGACAGCTCGCCATCCTGACCTTTCTGCCTCTCGCATTCTTTTGCAGAAGCACTTGAAACAGTAAACAGCACCGTGGAGAATTCCCCAGTGGAGCTGCGGTCTGCTTCCTTTCGCAGGCCCGCAGGCCTGTTTGCTGGCAATTCAGGCACGTGTAAGTGTGCGTGCCCCTGTCCAGGCCCCCCGGCTCGTGGCACTGAAGTCAGTGGCCTTCTTTTTGAGTGTGCATCACGCCTGGGTTTTTTGGTGTGAGAGGCAATCTCCTACGACCTTACCTTCTCAGCCACGGAGGAGAAGGGCGAAACATTTGAGCTTCGTAGGACAAAATCCACTGACTTCCAAAGAAAAGAAGAGTGCAGAAGAGGAAGGAAGAGATGTGGAGTCAAAGTTGGAACTCACATGTCTTTGGATCTCTTTGTGAAAGTCGGCAAAGCCTCTGAGGGCTGAGAGCTTTGCGCTGAATAAACACTCAGAAATGGAGAGCTGCTGACCTCAGACTCCTTCAGCCCTTGACCTGGAAGCTCTTGCAGGTCAACTGCCCTCCTCCCTCGCTGTCCCTGAGCACACAATGTTTCCCTGCCATGGGAGGGGTCTGCTGACCCTGACTGCAGTGCTGTGGGTCCCCCCGGCGAGACGAAGCTGGACCTTTGGCTTCTCAGGACGTTCTAGTGCTCCAGGAAAGTGGATAACAGGAGCAAATTGGATGCTGTCCTTACAGGATGATGACCCTCCCCATCTGCCACAGCTACAGAGAAAATGGCGGGGGGCTCGGGGCGAGACCATTGAGCGCTTGGAGCCCAGACAGGCTCTTAGATGTGCTGTGCTAATTAGCCAATTATTCTCCCCGTTTTTACCAAGGTCACTACCCTGGGCCGAGGAGGGCTGTTCTCTTTTTGTTTAGCTTCTCCTCAGCTCTGTGAGGCCTTAGAAGAAGAAAGTAACAAGAGGAACGAGAGCCATGATATGACTGTGAGGAAGAACACGAGACCCCATTGAAACAAAACTTCCAGTCCTTTATTCATTACTCCTTCATTCATTCATCAGATATTTTTAGAGCATCTTCAGTGTGCACAGAACCAAGCTAATTGCTAACATCACAAATGATGATGTTATGAAGGTTATGAAGATTTTCATCCTTCCAGAAGAACTCTTGGCATGGGTAGGTGATAAAGTGGTGCATGCCTCTCCTGGGAACGGCAGGGAGTTCAGTCGCCCTTCCTAAGGATGCTTGAGAGGGCACCTGTGTCTGTCAGCTCTCTCTGCTCTTGTCCCTTGTCACTTCTTCTTGTTTCTCCCCTGGCTGCTCTGGCTCTCTGTATTCTGATTTGCCCCAAAGTATGAACAAATTTTCTTCCTTTACTGCCCAGGACTGCAGCTGTGAGCTGTGGTAAATAGATCACAGTGGTGTTTTAAAAGTTACTGTGAGAGAATTACAACGCAGAGAGGCAAGACTTGCTATCACTGTTCCAAGGGCATCTCTCAGCCCTGGCCACTGGCTGTCTTTCTGGTGGAGTCCACACCCACCTCCGTGTTGTCCCTTCTACTAGCCTTGGGGGACTTTCTTAGTGGCCAGGCGATGTCTCCTTAGAGGTGCACCAGGCCACCCAAGGGCTCGATTTTAACACTGGCCTCTTTTAGTTTTAGTCTTTCTTTTTGCATCTGTCATTGGGCACTTTCTTTGCAGATTAAAAAGTACACCACAGTGTTTTCCCAAATTAAAAAACAAAAACAAACAAACTATTTTACCCTGTAGATAAATTCTTTTGCACAACCTAGAATGCAGAAATAGCCGTGGGCAGCTTTTAGAGGAGCATTCTGCTTCATAATTAAGATGACAGGGCCGCTGCTCGCAGTCTGAGCGTACTGGGAGAGACAATGGGTGAACGCGCTTTGCAGCAGAATATCGTAAGTGACATGACAGGGCTGTGCGTGGGCTGCTATAGGACCACACAGGAGGGAGCGTTTAACTCTACCCGCTGATCCTCCCAGAAGGCTTTATAGATTGACCTGAGTTAGGAATTTTCCAGGAAGATAATGGGGAGACAGCATTCCAAGCAGCTAGAACAGTATGTGAAAATCACAGAGGCATGAACGAGACTGACAATCTGGAGGAACAACAAGTTTTTGTGTGACGGTAGCATAAGATGGGGGAAGGGCAGGACCACATAGCATGTCCAGAGGTTGGGACGCAGGGTCTGCCTCCAGCATATAAAATTCAACCAATGAAATAAATATTGGTTGAAAGAATGAATGGTAAGCTGGTCATGGGTTCCAAAGACCTGGATAGTAACCAGCATCTCGGGCACATACATCTGGCTGAGGAGTTGCATTGTAGAAGTTTTTGAATGGCATCTCTTTTTCTGCCAGTTTTAAGGGGTAATTTGGGAATGATTTTAATAAAGAGGCAAGTTACAATGATGTGGTCAGGGGGAGGAGGACTTCAAGGGACAGTGAAGTGCCTGCAGGCTGTTACCAGCCCTCAAGAGAAGAGGCATGGAGTGTCACTGGAACCCAGAGGGGAAAGTTATGTCGGTGGGCCGTCTTAGCAGGACTTGTGAACTTCATGGAAGTTGACAGACACCTGGAAGAGGCTGAGGGAAAAATACTTTGCTATTATTCTCCTCTCTCCCTTCAATCTTCTAACAGGCCTTCCCAGTGGCTGAAGGACTAGGGAGCCTGTGCCCCTTCGCAGGCAGAGACTTAGGTGGTGGTTTACGGCCACCTTCGTCTTTGCTCACGCTCAAGGTCAGGATGCACATGGAGGCGAACACGAGTCTCCCTCCAAGGACTCCACCTGTTTTCATCTTCGGCTGTATCTGTGGCTTCTGAGTTATCCAGGCTTCAAATTAGTCTTGAGGCAATTAGGTTTCCCTTCTTTCCATAGATGCAGCTCATTTTTTGATCTCTAGAGGACGGTCTGGTGAACACTTGACGGACAGCCCAGCCCAGTTGGTTGCTGAGGTTGGAGAGAGTGAGTTCAGCTGGATGCTGCAGTAGCAAGGCAGAAGGATCTTCTTGTGGATTTGAGATCTGATCTGAAAATGCGAAGTCTCAAATATAAAAAAGGACATCACTGGACTATTTGTGCCACGACTGAACACAGCCCTCACATGTGACCTCCTAGAAGGGGAAGGCAGGTGACATGTGCTGGTTGTCTACCATGTTCGGGTCCAGGTCAGGTACTTTGCAAGACTGGAGCTTTGGAGTAATTGAACTTGGAGGTCCTCATTAGTCACCAGCAGATTCACAGCTGTATTGAAAACAACCTTGATAAAAAAGAAAACTTCCCATCTCTGTGATTTACTTCTGTTAAACCGGAGAATTTTTTTTTTTTGCAGACCTTTGAAAAATTAAACTAATGCAAAAACCTCTGTGGGGAATTGTTGCCACAGCTGGGTGGAACGCATCAACTATTAAATAATGACACTTCACGAGGCAGCTGAGCATAGAGCATGGTGGCCCACGGAAGCTGCAGAAAAATCTAAATAGACAGAATGCAGAAGCTCAGTAGGAATTTGACTAGGCTAATAATATTTCATGGGTATATAAACCTGTAATTTAGCCTCCGGATTTCTGCCCTCTGTTTCCCTTCTCTACTTGGTTTTTCTCATGTACTTTCCAACAAGGAAAATAAGGTTGTCATAAACCTTCCACCTTGGTTGATGGATTCATTGCAAGCAGCGGAGGCTTTTTTTTACTACACACCACAATTAGGAGTCAGTGGGGCTCAATGAAACTAGAGGATTTTACACAGTTGAGCCTGGCAGCTCTTTGGTTTGTTGGCAATCTCTTGGTGATCCTGAAGCCCCTCTTCTGGGAATTCCATTTTTACAAATGAAGCCAACCCAGGAGGCTCTAACTTTGACCACCTCTTCCTCAGTGAAGTCCTAGTAACCCAGGTGGGTGAACTAACATTTCCCTTTGTAGGCTTTGCTAATACCCAATTCCTTTGCCTAAATGAAGATGATAACCTGCATCAGAGAGACAGAAGTGTGGCTTCCCGAACACCGCGTTATTTGGAGGAAATGTACTGACGAATGCTAGCATGAAATCCTAACCTTTCTGACTTAGCTGAAACCAAATTGAAATTATTGTTGCCATCAATCAGGAACAGTTTTTAAAACCTCTGCCTTCTGGAAATCCTTTCTCTGTGACTTTAATAGCCCTGGTTATCCCGTTAGGCACAAAACCATTATTTTTTTAAAGGTGAGATATATTTTGTTAATTCCTGCTTTTACTTGTTATAAGATACTCTAGTGCCTTGCAAAACTGCCCCATTAATTGTGAGCCTCTCTGAACGAGGGCAGCCACACGCCACTGGCATCTGCTAGTTGCAGCACTACCTGATCCTGCTTTTTCTCAGCATTTCTGCATCTTCCAGATGCTGCCACTTATGTCACGTCTAGTTGATGCACCAGAGTCCTGGACTGTCAAAGTCTCCTAAAGCTGTCAGTGTATTTTAGGTAAGGGAATAAGGACACTGTTATTCACTATTAGCCAAGTGCCAAGGGGGCATTTCTCTCCGCTACTAAACTAAAAACGTTAAACATCTTATCATTCCTTCAGTTATAATTTGAAATCTGTTTTCCCCCTAAGGAATAAGAATCTACAGGGGTTGGAAGAACTACCCAGATGTCAGGTGCTATGTTCTTTCTCTCTGGCGTTGGTGCTCTCTGTCAGCTCTCCTGGGAGTCAGTTTGCTCCTAGAGGCTCCTCAGTCTTTCAGGTAAATATGGGTCCTTCAGGTTTGCCTCCCCAGACTGCACCGCGCTCAGATTTGAGGCCTGGTAGTGGACACTGTTTAGAATTAAGTTGGGATCTCCTTATTGTACATACAAGGTTGTATCGAAAATCACTGCTTTGAGACTCTCTCAAGCTCAGAGCCACGTAGGGGAGTGAGAGGAACCAAACTGGATGGATGGCATCCATCCTGGGTTGCCTTTGCTGCTGAAGTACCTCAGAATGTGAAGTACTCAGAATGGAGACGGAATCTTTATTGAGGTCATTAAATGAAAATGAGGTCATTTGGGTGGGCCTTAATTCAACGTGTTCTTATAACAAGAGAGGCACAGAAATGGCCAGACAGGGAGATGGAGTGGAGAGAGGGAGAGAACCTGGTGGTCTATAAGCCAAGGGGAGAGTCCTGGGACCTCAAGGCCCTTGAAGAAATCAACCCTGTGGCACCTTAATTTCAGACTTCTATCCTCTAGAATTATGAAATAAATAAATTTCCATTCTTTAAGTCACCTGGTCTGTAGTGCTTTGCTCCAGTAGCTCTAAAAAAATACACATGAACCAATGTCCTAGGAGAAGTTCACACCCACTGTGGTGGGGCGGGCACTGAGAGGCTGGCTCTGCCTGGAGGGGTAGGAGCAGTCCACCTTGCACTACGTGGGACATCTGAAAAGTGCAGGCATGCTGGAGAAGTGCCAGTGTCAAGGCGGGCTGGCAGGCAGTGACAGGTGGTGCTTCTGCAGGGTGGTGGAGCACGGTGGTGGGGGGTCTGGAACTAGGCAAGATGTTCAGACTCAGGAAGGCATGCATCACTGTCAGGAGCCCGTCAGACTCAAGACCAGAAAGACAGGGCTCTGGTTCCGAAGAGACTGAGGACGAGGCTGCTTTTCAAGGGAGGGAGCAGTGCTGGGGGTTGGTGGTCCCTTGTCATGGGAGGAAGGTCATGCCCAGTCACTAGACTATGATCATAAAGGAGACCGGAACAACCCAGTCCATTTTCAGTTTCAAACACTTGTATTTCTGACCTATATGTCCCTGACTGGGGATATATGACGTCCTCCTGTCTAAAGCAAGCCTCAACCTATAAGAAATAATGTCAAATGGCTTCAGCAGTCAGTAGTAGTGGCCCAGGGGGACAGGTAGGTCATTACACTGACAATACAATTCTGCTGAATGAACAAGAGGGTACAGCTTCCACAGGAGCCATTTGCTTGGTATGCTTATTAATTTCCAACGTGCCATTCTGGGATCTTTCCCAGAAATGTCATCCATGACTCCTGGGAGGAATTTTTCCAAGCAGGTGTCACCACTTTGCTGCTTAGAGAGGGAGCTTTTGAAAGCAACAGGAGTTCCGTTTCGTCTACCAGGTAGCCTAGGCCGAAGCAAAAATACCCAGCGTAGGAGAGAGGGTAGAAAACCTAACGAGGGTTTCAGAGTCATAATGTCTGGAAGTGGAAAACCATTGAACAGTTGCTCTACTGGCTGGAGAACACACTGGAACTACTAGCCGAGAACACAGCCTCAGATTTGCTGGGACTAATGCCGTAGAACCCCACCTTACAAACACTCCTCAGTTGTAGAATCTTTTGTTCAAATGGATTTTCTATGTGGAAACAGAAGACCAGCAGCTTTTGCTGAAGCATGGTGAAAGGCTTACATCCTGCCCAGCCTCATTCCCACCCACAGAGGTTTGGGTGGATTGCCATTTGAACAATATATATAACTTTCAATTCATTCAAAAAAGAGTCATGTGTTAGTCAGTGTTCTGTTGCTATGACAAATACCTGAAATAACTTAAAAAGAGGAAAGGTTTATTGTGGCTCACAGTTTCAGAGGTTTCAGTCCATGGTCCCCATTGCCTTTGGGTCTGTGGCGGGGCAGTTCATCATGGTGGGAGTGAGTGGTAAAGGAAGCTGCTTACCTCATGGTAGCCAGGAGGCAAAGAGTGAGGAGACGGAGGAGATGGGAGTCCCTTAAGGACTCACTCTCAATGAACTAACTTCCTTCCAGAAGGTCCCACCACCCAAATACCTCCCAGTACTACCACATGAGAGCCGCACCTTTAACATGGGCTTTTGTGGGGATGTTTAAGATCCAAGCTAAAGCAAGTTGTTTGTTTAAATATGGAAAAATCAAGGAAAGTTTTAGATACTTAAAATATGTGACTTGCAACCTTAAAGGATACAAAGAAGGTCAGTTTAGTAGTTCCAATTATCTGATGCCTTTAAACAAAGCATCTCCATACTTAATGGCCCGAAATACCAACATTTGTTTAATTTACTCAGGAATTGACCTGTGGTGACGTTTGTCTCTGTTCTTGTGATGTGAGGCTGGGGGCCCAACTAGGCTTGGGAATCCACTCAGAGATGGTGATTGTGATTGGTGATTTAATGCTGGTGGTCAACTGGGGGTGCTGGGGGGACCATTGAGTTTAAGCATTGGTTCGTTTTCATGTAGCCTTGGGCCCCTTGAGCTTCCACAGTGTGGCAACTGGGTTCCAAGAATGAGTGTTCCAAGAGGCAGGCAGCAGTGGCTGCCTGTCTGGTAAGATCTTGGCTTGGAAGCTGGCACAGGGTCATGGCCACCTTAATTTGTTGGTAGAAGCAGTCACAGACTCCATTCATGTAAGGGGTGGGGGCACAGAGATTACCTCTTCCTTGGAGGCTGTCGAAGAGTGTGTGGCCATCTGCAAACCACCACTGTTGTGGTCTCTCTCTCTCTCTCTCTCTCTCTCTCTCTCTCCCCCCCCCACTTTCACTTTCTCATGTCATATCCTCTTCCTCCTCAACAGTGTCAGACGTGTATGGAATCATCGCTGGATGGCAGACACACTATTTAGCACTTCAAAAGTACACAGGAGCTTCATTTCCTCTGCGATCCATCACTGAAGAAAAAGCCACTGTTCACCATCACTTATTCTTAACAAATGCTTAATACTGCTCTTGACGTGGGCTGGATCCTGGAGGGAAAACTAGAATCATGAAGACCCGAGACCAAATTTCAATGAGTGTATGGTCAACAGCTATTGCACGAGGTGGAATGCGGGCAGATGTGCAGAAGTGGGAAGTGCTGGGTTTGCTCAGGGAAAGATGATTCCAGTGGTTTGGAAGAGGAGTTCCGTTCACATGAGAGGGATCTATGGAGGATAAAGTAGGAGAGATGATGAGGTCGAACCCAATTCCCCTGTCCTGGAATGCTCTTCATTCTTAGTCCTCCACTGAGCCTCCTTCAACCCCAGCCTGTCCAGTGCATCCTTCTCACTTCTGAGCCAAAACCAGTCTCCCCTTCTCTGTGCTATCCTCCCGCATTGCTTATAAGTCAATAAGCAATAGTCTCGTGCCGGAGTTGATGACTATAAATTCACGAAGGATGAGTTCTGGGTCTTTGCAGTCTGGTTTTCCCTGCAGAGTGCAGAGCATGAGGTAGGCAGTGTTTAAATATTTGTCAAGTGTAAGTGTTCATAAGTAGTGACTCTTTAGGGATCGATTGTGGAAGAAATGACGTTCCTCTTGTGAACAGGTGATCCTGTCATCTCCCTGGTGTGGCTCTGGATGGCTGCACAGCGCGTCCGGCGCATGGTGATAATTCCATATGTTTTTAAGCTCTGGTGTGGAATGCTTAGCCTCTGTCAAATTTTATTTGAGAATAAAGACTTGTCCTGTGCTCACGCAGATGTGAAGCTCTGAAATGCCATCCACGGCTGTGGGAAAGGGCGTCTCACCTCACGCTGGAGGGTGGCTGGAGGCGTGGGGCGATTCTTCCTGCTGCCTTTGTCCGGTGACCGCGGTGGCTGCACAGTGCTGGAGATATTCCACTTCCTGCTGCAAGTGTGGAGTGGGGACTTTCGCCTTCTCCAGTGCTTTCCTTTCAGCGTCTCCAAGGCTTGCCTGCTGGGCTGGAAAAGCATCCCAGAGCAGACACGGCTGGCTCTGGGGAAGAAACCCACAGGCAGCGGGAGGTAAAGAAGCAGGCTCTGAACCAGGGTCTGCAGAACCAGCCAGGGTTCCTGAGTTTGCTGCCAACCAACAGCAGATCCTCAAGAACAAAGAGACGCAGAGGGAACATGTGACGGGGTGGGGACACCTGGGTCCTCTGTGGTTTAGTGCCGGGTTTCTGTTCTCACGACTAAAAGGCTCAGGGGTCACTCTAGTTTAACTGGGCTAACTGGGCTGCACGAAATAACCACACCAGAGACACAAATACCTTTTTCTTTGGGGTTGCTGTGATGGCTCCTCTGACCTTAAGGATCCGCAGAAAGAGAGAGAGCGAGAGCACCCGCTGACCCCTTTTATTGAGGAGAAGCTATTCAAATGAGGCAAGGGGTCAGGTTTCAGGGGGCTGAGTATCTTCATGATGTCCACTGTCAGCAGGTTGACTGACACCTGGGTAGGCCACACCCAAGGGCACAGTAAGAGGAGGGGACACACACAAGGCACTTCCATGGAAGATTCTATCCTAAACAGGGCAAGGGGTTATATTACAAAGGAACAGGTGAGCATAGCTTCACCCATGGGGCTGTAGCAAGACACACCCATTTCTGTGACTGAGCGCCTCAGCACCCCGCTGGGGAGTGTAACTCAGTCACCCGTAAGGTTGGCCTCCCATAGTTTAGGGCAAAGGAGGCGTTGGTGGTTAGTCCAAGTTAGAAGACAATGTCATACCCGAGGAATTTTAAGAAGCAGACTTTACTTATAAATCAAATGGTCTGAGTGAGGTTGATAGAGGGTGATCACAGGCCGCAGACATTTTGAAGGAAAAGATAAAATGATTTGAAAGCTACAGAGACATAGAAAATTAGGGGGACAGGAGGAGATAACCCTCCACAAGCTTCGTTTTGATATTCCCAAACTATGATAAAAATTAGGAAAGTCTTCAGGAATGAGGAGGGACTCCAGAAAGGAGGACGAATCATGTGTTTTAATCCATGTTATTTTCTTGGCTTATATACTTGGGGTTGAGCAAAAATACAATTGATGGGCTGGGGTGGCGGCTCAGGGGTAGAGCGCTTGCCTAGCACGTGTGAGGCACCAGGTTCGATCCTCAGCACCATATAAAAATAAATAAATAAAATAAAGATATTGTGTCCACGTACAACTAAAAAATAAAAAAGAATACGACCGAAACCCACTTTTTGACACTTTGATTTAAAGGAAGAGGTCATGCCATTTGCAGGAACTCTCCACCACGGCGGCAGGACATACCTCTGCCTATTAAGGAGGTGCTTTTTGGTAGTGGAAGAGCATGAGGTGACCAGGGGCTCTGTTGTGTATGGGTTGCTGTTGGACCTTCCCCACAGTTGTGACCTGGTGGGGGCTCTGACAAAACTGTGCAGCAGGGAGAGCTCACCACATTGTTGTTAGCTTATCTCTTCTTGATTCCCTTTCTACTCTGAATTTCTCTCTGCTCTCCCTTCAAATGAGGATGTCACTTGTCCAAGATCAGGGACCCTGCCGGTGTTGGTGACTTCTGCATCTCAAGTGCATGAAGGCATAGTGATGGCCTCATGGGACCCACTCCATAATGAGTGGCTCATGAGCGGGTGTACTGGCTTCACTCAGGGATGGTCTTCCGTGACTTTCCACCATGCTAATCAGGCCATGTCACTTTCCAGAATTGCAGCTGTAACTAGAAGCATAGTAAAGGCCACAGAATGAACAGCAAGGAGTATGGTTGCAGCAATAGAACCTCAAGCATCCAGAGGGGAATGGTAGTTAGACCCCAGGGAGAGAGGCACCATCTTTGCAAGAGTGTCAAGTCCCAGTGGACAAATGATAGGGACACCACATGTTACGGGATGCCTCTCATGTTTGCTCATCTAAAGGCTCCAAGAGGACAGCAGGAGGGCATGGTAGTCTAAAGGCCCAGAATGCACAGGAGACATGGTCACTGAGGGGTCAGGAGAGGCTGTGGGTGGAGTTCACACTAGAGCCCAGGCCCCTTCTTACTATTTAGAACAGGGCTCTTGTCTCTGATGTGGGCTTTCTTACAATATGATGACCGTATGTCTAAAGATGAGAATTAAAAAAAAAAAAAAAACAGCTTAAAGGAAAGTGGGAGGGTATTTTGGCTGTCTGTGGGTTGAGACGGTTTGCAGTCACCAAGGTGAATAACTGAAGGTGTAAAGGTGACGCCAACCTGAGCTCCATTCAGACAGGCAAGTAGAGAACCCAAGAATACAAAAGCAGTTTCTGTTTACTTTTTTCCTTTAACTTAAAACGTGTGTCTAAGGAGCTTAGCACAGGGGAGCATGGGGCCATTTGGTGTGTCATCATTTAAGGCCATTTCCTTTACAAATCTGAAATACCAGGGCAAGTTATACGTCCAGCTTATTTCTCTTCTGAAGGCTGAGTTTCTCTGCGATTGAGACCCAAAGTCTATTCTGCATCACTGTGAAGTGATACAAGAGTCGTCTCTTCAGGCTCCACAGCATGACCATGCCTGGTACAAGGTGGTTCTCTGTGACTCTGGTAGGCTGTGCAAAGGCCGCACATCTTAGAGCTCACTTGCGGAAGACTGTAAATACAAATACGGTCCTGAGCTGTGTAATGATGTTTCTGTCCCTGGCTGACTGCATGTGTGTCAGTGGCTCAACCTCACAGGCTGGGTTTGGGGTAGATTGCACTACCGCGGTTTGTGTAAGCACACTTGATGTTTGCACAACGAAATCACCTGGAGATGCATTTCTAAGAACGTTAAGCAATATGTTTGGGGAGGTGGGAGAAGGGTTTCTTTTGATTCACATCTAGAAAACACAGGGGCGGAAGGGGATTTCTCTTCCCCAGCAACCCGAGCCTTGATGGATAGTAAGCAGGAGCACAGAAACATCTCCCGTGAAGAAATTTAGTATAGTGACACCACATGAACAAGCAGGACTTCCATTTTAAGTTATGTGATATTTTAACTTATTAACAAAAAGATTGCAGTTGAGATGAAGTCTCTTGAATTAGTGTTGATTTGCATGGTTCCTTTTTTGCCGCCTCCTCATAAGAAATATGGTAGGGCATTTTCCGCTCCACATTTTAATTAATCTTTCAACTCTGTTTATCTGTTAGAGAGCAGAGCTTCTAAGTTGCTTTAAAGAGAAGGCAACATTAAAACCCAGAGTAGGTCACGGGAGTACAGGATGAAGTGACTGTTTCGCTGTGAAGGGGTTTATTTAGAATTCTGGAGATCTCTAACTTCTCATCCTCAAATGTGTTTTGAAGATGCATCCTGGGCATGCCAGTGTCCTGGGGTCAGTCCTCAACTGTCTAGAAACAATTAAAGTCCTCAATGATCAGCATCTTCTCTCATCCAGCAGTTTTAATCTCTTCCCTCACCCGCCCTTCACCTAATATCTGTTGGCAGTTTAACCAGCAGCCAAATGACATTCTCCCCATTTCCTAATTGGGTTTGTTTTCTGATGGGAAGTGAAATGGACAAAGGGTTAAGTAATGGAAAGGAGGAAAGGGAGATGATGGGATGTGAAGTGGGTGTTGGACGTCTACACAGCCCCAGGCAACACAGTGTTTAATCCTGATTGGAGCTGCGGGGGGACTCGGGCTTTGCTCCAGAGACCCCAGCTGTCACCCGCCTAAGGAGCTGCCTGCTCCTCTCAGCAAGAGCAACCCTGGAGAGTAACCTTCAGGGCTCCAACTGGGCTGCCTTTCGTAGCATGGATTCAAATGCAAATGCTCCTTGCTCTTTGGTATTCTGGAGGCTCTCAGCTAGAGCCCTTGGAAGTGGACCCTTTGTGCAATCTGAGGAATCAATCTACCTTCTCCTGGGTGCCTGCTGGGCCAACCTCTCTGCTGCTCCTTTCTCTGGTGGAAAAGATAAACGAAAATCCCATTATTCAGCCCATGCTATTGTGGTGGCAGTTTCCTTTGAGCCTCTTGGCAAAACCCCGCTTGCTTTAGAACTGTACATCATATGGGATCCATTGAGAGCCATTATTTATCTGACAGGATATTTATAAAAGCCGGCATTAGCTGCAACTCCAAGTCAATATGTTTCCCTCTTGCTGACACACATCACACCAACAGGCTTGAAATATTTAAATACAATAGTCTCTTCAAGAAATCATTAATTTTTCTATCACTGCTAGAAGTGATAATTTGATGGAAATGGATTTAGTTGGAATAGCTGAGCCCGACTGGAGAGGATACTTGAAAGTACCCGTGCTTTGGAGAAGTCAGCCCAGGACACAGTGAGGGTCCATTGAAGACCAGAACCCAGAGCCCCAGGGGCTGTGGTGCCGCTGCAGCCGCCCCACCCCCCAGGGTCATCCCACCCACTTCAGTCGGGAGGGCTTTAAATATCAAGGAGAGGAAAAGAAGCCCAGGACCAGCCACCTCATTACCAGCAGTGTCCCTGCCTCTCTGTCCCTGCCCGCCGCCCGCCTCCCGCTTCTCTTCTCCCTCGCTCTCCTTTGCCCTCCTCTCTCTTTTATCCTTCTCTCCATTTTTCTCTGCCTCTTTCCTTGGCTTTGACTTTTGCTCTTTGATCTTCCTCTTTCCTTATTCACTTTCCCTGCTGCGTGTGGCTGCACTGAAATTGAGGACAGTCTTAAGTGTCTCCCTGGGGTCTCTGCTCCTGAGCTGGGAGGGGTGGGATGGAGCCTCTGCACCGGGCTGTTGGCCACTCCCCACCGGGGCCCCTGGTGCAGAATGAATGCACAAAGTTTCTGTGCCCCTTCACTACACAGGACAGGGAGTCAAACGAACGGTATGACTTTCTGGACAGATGAAGGACTTGGAACTTGTCCGGAATACTGTACCTCATGTCCCCGGGTGTGCTTCCTGACCGGAGGAGAGAGTCTGTACCATTGTGAGTCTGCCAAGCCAGCATTAAGATCTTGACAAAAGCGACGTGTAGCCTTTTTATACCGGAAATGGCTCATCTGCTCTGAAGATCAGGCAAACGGTCAGAGAGGACACACATTTTTCTGTGTATTTCTGAACGACAAAGATTGGTTAAGCCAGGAAAATAAATACAAAATATATATTTTTTTAAAAATTGTAAATTTCATTTTTTTAAATACAAAAAAAAAATTGGTGTAGAGTTAAATTATTGTGTTGGGCTGCACCTTGGCATTTTCCTCTTAAATTCGTGGTT